ATTGTTCATGTTAGAGTGTTGATTGATGTTCCTCTTGCTTCTAGATGAATTTCTGTCTTGTTTTGAGAAAAGTCAATTTTTGGCCAATTTTGACTAAAAATAAAAGGCTAACCCCTTGCATTTTTTTCAATTTTGGCCAAAAAATGAAATTGCTTGAAAGTTGCTAGAAAGATGCCTTACGGGCCCTAGAACGCATTCCAAATCGATTGCTTGACAGACGTGCTATTAAAGAGGAAGTTCCGTCGAAAATTTAAGGTAAAATCGCTCAAAAAATGTAATTCTTTTTCTCCAAAAATGGATGATTTTTGCCCAAATCTTCAAAATTGTGCATGTTTGAGTATTGATTGATGTTCCTCTTGCTTCTAGATGAATTTCTGTCTTGTTTTGAGAAAAGTCAATTTTTGGCCAATTTTGACTAAAAATGTAAGGCTAACCCCTTGCATTTTTTGCAATTTTGGCCAAAAAATGAAATTGCTTGAAAGTTGCTAGAAAGATGCCTTACGGGCCCTAGAACGCATTCCAAATCGATTGCTGGACAGACGTGCTATTAAAGAGGAAGTTCCGTCGAAAATTTAAGGTAAAATCGCTCAGAAAATGTAATTCTTTTTCTCCAAAAATGGATGATTTTTGCCCAAATCTTCAAAATTGTTCATGTTAGAGTGTTGATTGATGTTCCTCTTGCTTCTAGATGAATTTCTGTCTTGTTTTGAGAAAAGTCAATTTTTGGCCAATTTTGACTAAAAATGTAAGGCTAACCCCTTGCATTTTTTTCAATTTTGGCCAAAAAATGAAATTGCTTGAAAGTTGCTAGAAAGATGCCTTACGGGCCCTAGAACGCATTCCAAATCGATTGCTTGACAGACGTGCTATTAAAGAGGAAGTTCCGTCGAAAATTTAAGGTAAAATCGCTCAAAAAATGTAATTCTTTTTCTCCAAAAATGGATGATTTTTGCCCAAATCTTCAAAATTGTGCATGTTTGAGTATTGATTGATGTTCCTCTTGCTTCTAGATGAATTTCTGTCTTGTTTTGAGAAAAGTCAATTTTTGGCCAATTTTGACTAAAAATGTAAGGCTAACCTCTTGCATTTTTTTCAATTTTGGCCAAAAAATGAAATTGCTTGAAAGTTGCTAGAAAGATGCCTTATGGGCCCTAGAACGCATTCCAAATCGTTTTCAGGACAGACGTGCTATTAAAGAGGAAGTTCCGTCGAAAATTTAAGGTAAAATCGCTCAAAAAATGTAATTCTTTTTCTCCAAAAATGGATGATTTTTGCCCAAATCTTCAAAATTGTGCATGTTAGAGTATTGATTGATGTTCCTCTTGCTTCTAGATGAATTTCTGTCTTGTTTTGAGAAAAGTCAATTTTTGGCCAATTTTGACTAAAAATGTAAGGCTAACCTCTTGCATTTTTTTCAATTTTGGCCAAAAAATGAAATTGCTTGAAAGTTGCTAGAAAGATGCCTTATGGGCCCTAGAACGCATTCCAAATCGTTTTCAGGACAGACGTGCTATTAAAGAGGAAGTTCCGTCGAAAATTTAAGGTAAAATCGCTCAAAAAATGTAATTCTTTTTCTCCAAAAATGGATGATTTTTGCCCAAATCTTCAAAATTGTGCATGTCAGAGTATTGATTGATGTTCCTCTTGCTTCTAGATGAATTTCTGTCTTGTTTTGAGAAAAGTCAATTTTTGGCCAATTTTGACTAAAAATGTAAGGCCTTGCATTTTTTTCAATTTTGGCCAAAAAATGAAATTGCTTGAAAGTTGCTAGAAAGATACCTTAAGGGCCCTAGAACGCATTGCAAATCGTTTTCCGGACAGACGTGCTATTAAAGAGGAAGTTCCGTCGAAAATTTAAGGTAAAATCGCTCAAAAAATGTAATTCTTTTTCTCCAAAAATGGATGATTTTTGCCCAAATCTTCAAAATTGTGCATGTTAAGAGTATTGATTGATGTTCCTCTTGCTTCTAGATGAATTTCTGTCTTGTTTTGAGAAAAGTCAATTTTTGGCCAATTTTGACTAAAAATGTAAGGCTAACCCCTTGCATATTTTTCAATTTTGGCCCAAAAAATGAAATTGCTTGAAAGTTGCTAAAAAGATTCCTAAAGGGCCATAGAACGCATTCCAAATCGATTGCTTGACAGATGTGCTATTAAAGGGGAAATTCCGTCGAAAATTTAAGGTAAAATCGCTCAAAAAATAAATTTCTTTTTTTTGAAAAATGGATGATTTTTGCCCAAATCTTCAAAATTGTGCATGTTAGAGTATTGATTGATGTTCCTCTTGCTTCTAGATGAATTGCTGTCTTGTTTTGAGAAAAGTCAATTTTTGGCCAATTTTGACTTAAAATGTAAGGCTAATCCCTTGAATTTTTTCAATTTTGACCCAAAAATGAAATTGCTTGAAAGTTGCTAGAAAGATGCCTTATGGGCCCTAGAACGCATTCCAAATCGATTTCTGGACAGATGTGCTATTACAGGGAAAATTCCGTCGAAAATTTAAGGTAAAATCGCAGAAAAATTAAATTTCTTTTTCTCCAGAAATGGATGATTTTTGCCCAAATCTTCAAAATTGTGCATGTTAGAGTATTAATTGATGTTCCTCTTGCTTCTAGATGAATTTCTGTCTTGTTTTGAGAAAAGTCAATTTTTGGCCAATTTTGACTAAAAATGTAAGGCTAACCTCTTGCATTTTTTCAATTTTGGCCAAAAAATGAGATTGCTTGAAAGTTGCTAGAAAGATGCCTTAAGGGCCCTAGAACGCATTCCAAATCGATTGCTTGACAGATGTGCTATTAAAGGGGAAATTCCGTCGAAAATTTAAGGTAAAATCGCTCAAAAAATAAATTTCTTTGTCTCCAAAAATGGATGATATTTGCCCAAATCTTCAAAATTGTGCATGTTAGAGTATTGATTGATGTTCCTCTTGCTTCTAGATGAATTTCTGTCTTGTTTTGAGAAAAGTCATTTTTTTGGCCAATTTTGACTAAAAATGTAAGGCTAACCCCTTGCTTTTTTTTCAATTTTGGCCAAAAAATGAAATTGCTTGAAAGTTGCTAGAAAGATGCCTTAAGGGCCCTAGAACGCATTCCAAATCGATTTCTGGACAGATGTGCTATTACAAGGAAAATTCCGTCAAAAATTTAAGGTAAAATCCCAGAAAAATTAAATTTCTTTTTCTCCAAAAATGGATGATTTTTGCCCAAATCTTCAAATTTGTGCTTGTTAGAGTATTGATTGATGTTCTTCTTGCTTCTAGATGAATTTATGTCTTGTTTTTAGAAAAGGCAATTTTTGGCAAATTTTGACTAAAAATGTAAGGCTAATCCCTTGTATTTTTTTCAATTTTGGTCAAAAAATAAAATTGCTTAAAAGTTGCTAGAAAGATGCCTTACGGGCCCTAGAACGCATTCCAAATCGATTTCCGGACAGATGTGGTATTAAAGTGGAAATTCCGTCGAAAATTTAAGGTAAAATCACTCCAAAAATGATCAATTTCTTTTTCTCCAAAAATGGATGATTTTTACACGAATCTTCAAAATTGTGCATGTTAGAGTATTGATTAATGTTCCTCTTGCTTCCAGATGAATTTCTGCCTTGTTTTGAGAAAAGTCAATTTTTGGCCAATTTTGACTAAAAATGTAAGGTTAACTAACCCCTGGAGGGTGGAACTTGGTCATGCATGTTCATGCATGTTTTATGTTTGTGGTCTTATATGCTGTGCATTTACTTCATTGGGCTTGCAACAAAGTGAAAATTGGGATTATTTACCTTACTGGTACATGTATTTGTATTCTTTGTAACTTCACATCCCCGCACAGTTATTCCCATATTAACGTGTATATTTAGAGAGATGCAGATGATTTTGAGTCAAGATTGGTTGTGTACGTGAAATGGATTCGGTTGTAAATAGTTTTGAAACATTCTTTTGCATTGTTTAAATACGATTTGAAAATTTCCCCACATCTAGGTTCTGTTCTGCAAAAGGGTTGAGCATTTATGCAACATGAATAATAGCTGAATTAAATTTGTGTGAATTTCAATTTGATTATTATTACACACTTAAATAAACAACAAAATTATCACTTATTGTCACACATCATAAAGTGTTGCATTTGTAATTTTATTTTTGCAAACTCTGAACAAACCAAGATAAAGATATTGAACTGTTAAAACTTTGTTTCATATTCAGAAATATTAAATTTAACACAGGTTATTAAAATTTAAATACTATGTTACACCACACAACTTCACGCACTTCCATATTTGCTGATTTGCTTTTCAATAGCTTTGTGTCATTTTCTCATTGTATTCTTCATAACTTGTGAAATATTTTACTGTTTTACATTGATTTCTTCTGAACAATGTTCACGAAAAAACAAACCAATACTTTGCCACATTTAGGTAATTTTAACAAAATCCCATCGAAAATTAAGGTAAAATCGAAATTTAAGGTAAAATTTCTCAAAAATATTAATTTCTTTTTCTCCAAAAATTGATGATTTTTGCCCAAATCTTCAAAATTGTGCATGTTAGAGTATTGATCGATGTTCCTCTTGCATCCAAATAAATTTCTGCCTCGTTTTGAGAAAAGTCAATTTTGGGCCAATTTTGACTAAAAATAAAAGGTTAACATTTTTTGCAATTTTTTTTCTCCAAAAAATGAAATTGCTTGAAAGATGCTAGAACGATGCCATCGGGGCCCAAGAACGCATTACAAATCGATTTCTGGACAGATGTGCTATTTAAAGGGCAATTCCGTCGAAAATTCAAGGTAAAATCCCTCAGAAATTAACTTCTTTTTCTCCAAAAATGGATGATTTTTGACGAAATTTTCAAAATTGTGCGTGTTAGAGTATTGATTGATGTTCCTTTTGCATCCAGATGAATTTTTGGCCAATTTTGACTGAAAATGTAAGGTTAACATAATGGATGATTGAACCTAACATTTTTTAGTCAAATTTGGCACAAAACTGACTTTTTCTCAAAACTAGGCAGAAATTCATCTGGATGCAAGAGGAACATCAATCAATACCCTTTCACACCAAATTTTGAAGATTTGGGCAAAAATCATTCATTTTTTGCGAAAAAGAAACTAACGTTTTTGCCCCTGTTCATCTTTATTTGTTGGATAGGTTGTTTGTTTTACAAAATCACTCTTTGAGAAAGAATATGTTTACCCCAACAATCCTGAAGTTAGAGGTCAGGAGTGCTTCCAGAATTACAAAATCAGAGATGTCAGATGTAACAGGAAAAGCAAAAAACGTGGACCCAAATTTATAGAATATCTCAGACACATGTAAAGGTGAGGTTTCACCTTAAAAAGAAAACTGAAAAGGCAGGTAGAAGCATCCAGTAAAATTGCACGTGCTGACACACAAGAGGTCAAAAATAGTGTCCTCATTCCTCAAGTTGGGCGAGTAGCTGTCTCTCCGTTTTCTTCATGTCGATAAGCTCTTGCTCTTCAAGCTTGACTTCCCGCTCAAACATTTCTCTGAAACAAACCAATGTCAATGAGGTTTTCAAATAAACTACAAGAGAAACTAACTGGGTGTCAAAAAGCCATATAGACAAAAACCATGATTGTAACTTGGTTATATGCAACCACCATTACCCTGGTGGTGAGTCCAATTAAACCTATCGTGATACAGGGTGAGTAAAAAATAGCGGAACCCAAACCCCTAATTCATTAGCTACTTTTAGATGAAAAATTACTGAAATTGCTCAATCCGTTCAAAGAATATCAGCATTCAAACACAATGACCCTAAAAAGCTCTTTCGTCCAAAATTGCGATTTCAAGAATCGTCGTCACACTTATCTTTAAATATCACCAGCGATAAAACCTCAGTTTAAAACGTTAAAAGCTTTCAACAAAGTCCTTTGGAAGGCCCGTCTTTAAAAAAAAAGAGTGGATTTTATAAATCATATTGTTTGCCTACAGGGTTGTTAATAAAGATATTGTGTACTACAGTTGTTGACAGTTGTTGAAACAAGTATTCTGTGTCATTTTCTTTGTTGTTCCAAACAGTCAGAATACACAATAAACTGCTTTTTTTTGGACGAAACAGGTTTTAGGGTCATTGCGTTTAAATGGTGATATTCTTTGAATGGATTGAGCAATTTCAGTATTTTTTTCATCTAAAAGTACCTTATGAAATTGTCTTTCAAGTCATTATTGTGTTTGGTGCTACATATTTTGTAAATATGAAATATATTTTTGGGCTTTGGGTTCCGCTTTTTTTACTCACCCTGTCGAATCGCGTCAATGCAGCTGGTGAAATATTGTCCAATTACATAATATACAAATGGACGTGGAATGCGCAAAATCTGAGACTAACTTACTGTACAAAAACTCCATGGAGTTGTCTAAGGGGCCTGGCTAACTGGCAGACGGCGATGGGTCAATTGCATGGCTCTGAGCTTATGATCACAATATCGCTGCTTATGGGCAACACGAGGCAAAATGTCCTTTCTAACTTTTGAAGTATGATTACCATGAGGCTGGTGAAGGGTGTTTGCTTATAGCCTTGAAACACGGCCCAAGTCTAAGTTTACAACTTTCAAAATGTATGTAAAACCCAAGTCACACATGCACGGTTTGACGCTAGAGATCTCCACGGTTTAAAATTCCGTTTTCCTCCTTATTACATCTGTGGTTATCCGTCATCTTCCTTGGGTATTCGTGGAGGGGCCACAGAAGTTTTAAACTGTTTCAAACTTCCGTGGTGAACCGTCATGAACATCAATCCGTAGTGCAACCGTGGGACATCCGTAGGACAACCGTACTTATTTGTAGTGGCATTCGTGGCTATTCATGCATATTCTTGGGGATTCGTAGCTCATTCGTGGTAGAAATCTCTATGAATTCGCTATGAATTTCCTACCGATGTGCCCGGATGTGGTAGGGTTCTGCCAAGGTTGTACCACGAATATCCACGCTTTATTCAGAGGAGAACCTTGGTCATCCGTGACCCAATCGCAGACAACCGTGGCGTTAATGTCATTATTCCTAGAAATACCGTCGATATTCTTCACCAATCCGTCTATATTCTTGACAAACCGTGGTGTATTCGTAGAGTAACAGTAAGACCGTCGTGACTATCTATCCTGAAACCGTAGTGCCTTTTTAGAAAGTTGATTTCTCCACGAACCTCGACGGTTCATCGTGATCGATTGATTCTTGGTAAACCATGGATATTCATAGCTCCAACCGTAAATATGTGACCTGGGCTTAAAAGCCTGCAGAGGCAACTTACAAATCTCGATATTGGGTCTCTAGTGGTATCTCAAGGAGACCCATCTCGGCTTGGTGTTTCTTGGCAACTATCTCCATGGCTTCAAACAGGCCCACTAGCCTCTCTGCCTCTGAGTCGATCTGATGCACTGTCAAGGAAATCAGAATGTGATGAGTAACACGATTAGGCAAACCCTATTTAAAGGGTCTATTTAGAGACTTGTGTCACTTTTCATGGTAAAATCTCTTTTTTCCCCCACCTGCCTTGATTGGCAACCATAGCCTTTCACTATGTGACATTAAATGACACAACAAAAACCACAATTGAAAAGTGGCGCAATTCTCTATTAAAATAGACCCTTTCATAAAATTGGTCACTGCTCAGTCAACCGTGAATGTAATGACATGATCAGGGTGTCATTTTAAAGAGGAGATTCAACCCTAACAGAGGATATCTCCCTTTGATTCACATGTGCCCTACTTCTGTTCCAATTAGCAATAAGATCTTGGTTTCGTTTTTTTTTTTTTTTATCCACCCTGTGTAGGTACCTTTTGAGGTGAGGTTTTGCATGTCATTCTTTGCCACACTGACTTCATCCTGCAATGACTGATCAACCTGGGTGCAAATTGAGAAGACTAAGTTACTTTACGTTTTCCTCAAGAGAAATGTAATTGATCTGAAAGTGGTAGTTGCTCACCACTTCGGTCTACTTCCTTCCGATACAGTTGAAAAAAAAAATGTCGGCCTAATCATTTACATAAACATACATTCCATTTCATTTCATTTGAAAATAGAGCAAAAGTACAAACTTTGAATGAATTGTGGTGTTTATTTTAACATTAAATTTCACATCAAAAGTTGGCTATGTTACCCCCCGTTCAGACAGGCGTTCCAGAGTCGCCCCGAACCAAATAGATTAGGAGCGACTCTAGGTCGACCTTATTAGAATTTTGGTTTCAGACAGGAAAACTTAATACATTGGAGTATTGTGTACAAACCAACAAACGCGGGATCTTAGCAACAAGCCTGCATTGTGCAGCGTCGATGTATAGGCTGCATGCGCGTTCCTTCACTACGCAAACGCCTGGCCGTGTAGAATACGTAATCGATGCATCGATGCTGATGAGAGCGTGCTGCACGAAGTGCGCGCGTATTGAAGAAGACAGCTCGCACGTACGCCATGTGCGCTCCGGTTATCTCTTGTACGTCACGCCCATAGACAAACAATTTGTATTTCAAGACTGCGCCGTGCCTGTATAACATGGATACTGGAAGTCTCGGTTTTCCGCTTTAAAAAATGTATCTTGTGTTGTATTGGGGCGACAGTGGGACGTACATTTATTGTAAGTTTTTGCTCTGTAACACGACATCGAAATCTCGTGTTTGAAAGGATTAAATCTGCAAAAAGAAAACTTTTCAATTATAAGCACTGCGTTGCGCGTTAAGCACATCCCCTGCAGTCCTTATATTTGAAGGTCACTACTTATTTACATACATTTACATACATTTGCATTGAGTTCGGCTCATGACTAGAGCGACGTGTGAAACCAAGTCGCTCCTGAGTCGTTCTAACGACTCCAACAGTCGATCTTTCGCCATCGAGCGCGTCAAGTCGCTCCTAATTGTTTCAGACATCGGACTTTTGATGCACTTCAAATCTAGACTTTCATTTGGTCTGAACCTAGTGTAAAACACTTATGCAAAGTTGAAACTATCACAGAAAAATACCCACGTAAAAATCCTTTCCCATGTGAAACAACTCTGTCAAGCTCGCCAGTTTGCCTTCAAGCAATTCCCTGCAAAAGAAAAGATACATTTACATTATACCCTAACTGGGACTAATTCCATTCAACCAAATGCCAACTATTTAGAACCCCCTCCCCCCTGTTCACATGGCATACGTGTTATATCAACCTTTATTCAAGCAGAATAGAAAACATTATTAAGCAAGAACAAAGCGAGGAACATTTAAGCCCAGGACGACACCTGAATCACAAAGTCGTCCAAGTAATACGCAGGGCTGTACAAAGTACCAAAAAAAAAAAAAAAAAAAAAAAATGTACACAATTGTCGGTTGGGTTCGGGTCGGTTTTTGCTTGATTTTTGTCGGGTCCATGAGGTGAATCCCTTTTAAAATCTTGGGCCCTTTTCATACCAGGCTTTCGATGTTTATCTTTGACTGAGCCCAGTGTAACATTATATCTGGTTATTCCCTTAAGGCATTCACACAGTTACACCATAGGAAGCCAGCTCCAAACGGTACTGGGCAATTCCACGGTTACTCACATTACATTTTTGATGTTCTTTTGAGTTTCCTTGGGCTGTAATTACTTAATACTGAAAAGGTCTAATAACTGTTATCCCCATGGTAGATAGAGTAGACCTAGACCTACCTAAGCACCAAAGATGGCATTCAGAAAAATGAGTTATGTATGATAAACAAGACGCACAAAATCGGTTACTCACGTTATGAAAATGTAACGTGAGTAACCGATTTTGTGCGTCTTGTTTATCATACATAACACGTTTTTCTGAATGTCATCTTTGGTGCTTAGGTAGGTCTAGATCTACTCTATCTACCATGGGGATAACAGTTATTAAACCTTTTCAGTAAGGTAATTACAGCCCAAGGAAACTCAAAAGTACATCAAAAATGTAATGTGAGTAACCGTGGAATTGCCCTACTGCTTACACCTGCTGGATATAGGCATTTTGAAACCCCATACAAGTTATACACAGACCGACAAATTCATGATTTCTGTTGTTTGTGCATCAATTTCAGTATTAATCTAAGAAAGAAAACATGGTTTTGAAAACGAATACATGTAGTAAGTTTGATATTTAATTCATGAAAAATGTAGGTGCATTTAGACCACTAAGGATGATTCAGGCAAGTCAAACAAGTCGTTAAGTCAAGCGATACTAATTGTTCCCTGCTGGTGGAAGTCATTCATTTGGTGCAAAACTGCCATAAGGAGATACATCTTGCGATAAGAGAGATCAGAAAACCTGGTTCAAAAACCTGAATATAAGGCCGCTATCTTCATCCCTTAAAAATTCATTAAAGAGCCATTTTCCCTTGAAATTACAGTTAACTAAACTTTCACGGATTTTTCAACATATTAAGCCAGATTAGGGGTCCGTGAAAACACCCTTAAGAGAGTCCTTTGTTTACCCATGGAGATAGACCCATCTATAACCAATGATAATCCTCAGTGGCCAGGGTCATTAAAAAAACAGTGAAAATACCCTTACAGGATTAGTCCTATATAAGCCAGATGTAAATGTCCGTGAAACATCTCTTAAAGATTCTTTTCACGGAGAAATAGACTTTTAATGAAAATTTAAGGGATCAGATGTTCATAGGGTAGTCAGGTTTTCTTTCAAAAGAGGATTCACGGCATGCAGGTTAGATTTGGGGAGTTCAGATCGGTTTCGGTTCAGATTCTGTTGATAATGTTTTGGGTCGGTTTGGCCTGGTCAACCCGACCCGATGCACAACATTACTCTCTGCATGTCTACACATCCGCTTGGACCCACCTCCCCCCGTATGCATGGTGTATGCAATGTTAACAATCAACCCCCCCCCCCCCAATACATGTACACTTTATGGTTCTTGGTTCTTGGTTGGTTCATCTCCTAAATACTCCGCGTGGGAGTTTATGCAGGAGACCAGAAACACCGGGGCAAACCCCTTCTCTTAGCGATAAATGTGTTCTTTTACGGTTTGGATTACACAACACATGGGACTACGGCTTTACGTCCCAACCTAAGGATGAAGCAATAATGGTGAAGTGCCTTGCTCAAGGGCACAAGTGTCCACCCAGCGGGCTCGAACCCACGCCACTGTTGCCTCTGAAACACCAGAGCATGAGTCCGGTGTTCTTAACCGCTAGGCCGACGGAGTTATTATTACAATTTGTTTGTGTCCCGTACAAAATCTGTGATGATCCTTTCCCAAGTAAAAGATATTTTCCTCCCAAATGAGATCCAGATTTTATTCCATCGGGCGGAAATTCTACGATTTTGTTCAAATCCACCATTTGTAATTTTGAGAAAAACACAAACATGGCTACAGCATAATGGCTTTTGCACCGTTTAAGCCTGGCAATAACAGCATGCATATTTTATTTCTTGGAAAGGTGTAAATTTTTCACAAGTCCCATCAAAAATCTTATTATGTTTGGATTACATTTTCTGTAACAAAATGCCCTGAAGATTTGCAGATGCTCCAACAGTCAAGACGTAATGGCACTAGGCTCGAAGTGCGATAAAAGGGATAATAACTTGTTCATACCACTTTTTTGTTTAAAAAAATACATTTCCACATTAATGGGGTACAGTTGACTGCAAATTTGGGATTTGAGAGGGGGCAATGGAGGGTACAGCAAAGCAAGATATTCTGTTCAGTTTTTTTTGTCCTGTAAAGGGGGAGTCAAAAAAGCGAAACCCAAATGTCGGAACTGTTGTTTTAGTGAAGTTCTGCATGCAGCACTTTCAAAATCTAGGACATGAAAGCCCATTTCATAAGCTATATTTTAGTACAAGAATCATTCAAATCACTCATGTACTTTTCAGGTTACGGAATTTTAAACACAACCACCGTTTTAAAGTTCTGTCCACGGAACACCAAAAAAAAGTGTGCATTCTTTCAGCAAACGAAAACAATTCACACACATCCCTATGTGATTTGTTTTGTTTTGCTGAAAGAACACTTACCTTCTTGTGATCCGTGGACAGAACTTGAAAAGTGCATGAGTGATTCGAATGATTTTTGTACTAAAAGAAGCCTATGAATTGGGCTTTTATATCCTAGATTTTGAAAGTGCTACATGCAGAACTTCACTAAAACAATGGTCCCGATATTTGGTTTTTAAAAATTTTTTTACTCACCCTGTACATTCCGGAGGCCTTTATGATCATGCGTAAAAAAAAAATAAAGAGGACTTTCTCGATACTTTAGAAATTATGGGTCATTGTCAATTTTACGTAATTAGTAACATGGACAGAATTTTTACTACAAGTCGACAGGACACTAATTATTATGTGCTTGAATTCTCCCATGTGTGTTCTCATTTATATTCACAGAGCTAACGCATCATCAGGTTAGTTATTATTATTATTATTATTAATCATTTCTGGTAATGAAACCAAGGATTAGTCAAAAGCGCCCTAGGCGCTGTAGCTCGCAAGCCTGAAGAAACCTGTGGAGAGAAGACAATGGGGAGAAATTACAGTTTTAGAGGTGGGAGGAAAACCCCAGAAGAATATTCTGGGGGAAACCCACGGAATCAGGCAGGGACTGAAAACCCAAGACATTGCATTAGGCTCAAGGTGTGATAAAAGGTATAATAACGTGGAATAATAACTCGCAAGCCTGAAGAAACCTGCGGAGAGAAGACAATAGGAAGTTACAGTTTCAGAGGTGGGAGGAAAAGCCCAGAAGAATATTCTGGGGAAAACCCACAGAATCAGGCAGGGAAAACCCAATCCACATATTGGCCCGGGCGGGATTCGAACTGGGGTCACAGCGGTGGAAGGCGAGGAAAGTACCAGTACACCAACCTGAGTTGTTAAACATCCGTCTTTACATTTTGAGCACTTTTGTTGCTTCAAAACGGAATGCACCAATGACAGATGGTCTACACTACCTTCAAAGTGGACAAGAAACAAAGATAACCGAGAGGTTTACTGTCTTACCTTTCTTCTTGCTGACGCCTTTCCTCCATCTTGCAGTTGTCCTTGAGGTGAGAAACTCTCTGTTTCACCTCTTGATTGATACTCTGTTGACTGGGAGTAAAAAAAAAGAAATTCAATAATGTCGAGATACTTTCCTGGGCTAAGGCTTTCAAGCAGACCCAGGTGAAAAGCTAGTCTATGTAACAGACCCATGGCGAATGCCATGGGTCTATGATATGTGAGCAGATTCGCTGATTAATTAGGCAAGACCCTGCCTTTTGACCTCCTAGATTTTGACCAATCAGTGGGCGCTTTCTATATCTGGTCTTCGGTCATTCACCCGTTGCGCGTTATAGACAATGGATTAAAAAGACCTGCGTCACGCGCTCTGTATATCATGTTATGCGATAATGCGCCCGGCTGTTGTTGCATTACAGAACACTGCATTCGAATTGACCAACCAAACGTTTAGTCCTGATTTGGGAATGAAATGACATCACGATTTAGCAAAGTCGACTCCGATTGGCTGAGGCGCGAGATCGCATAAATCTGCATGCTTTGATATATCAGACGTTAGACAGGAATCTGGGCTGCGTGGATAACGGGTGATACTTGTGAAAAGCCAGGAGGATTAAAATGTTCAAAAACAACAAGAAAACAGTAGGACTTTGGAGGACAAAATCAGGATAAAAGTAGGACTTTTGCAGGCTTCCAGAAGTAGTTTTTGATGGATGGATGGATTTGGGCATGAGCATTTTACAGCAAATATTTTTTACAATGACCTGTTTAAAGTTTTGTGTTTATTAGAGGAATTTTGCGTCAGGGTGATATAAATCAAATAAGGCTTTGCCCTTCACCGATGTTTAAACACAGTATACTCAGTATGTTACCTCCCAAGTGAAAGTTGGAAAAAATCACTCGGGTGGGACTCAAACCCAAGACCTCCTGCTTTCTAGTGCAGATGTCTTACCACTCGACCACTGAGCTAAGGGGATCGGTTGGCCAATTTGAATCCGATGTACATAGCAGCGGGTACGGCATAAACTATTACAAGATGGAATTTTGCGTCAGGGTGATATAAATCAAATTAGGTTTAGCCCTTCAGTATTAAATGTTGTATATTTACCTTAATTAACTTCTTGAAAGGTCATAGAACGGTCTTGATGACAGCTATAATTTAATTTTTTGGGGACCTACCCCTCTATAGCTGCCTGGGACTGGTCCACCTTGTACTGGGCAACCTTCAAGGTGTCTGTCATCTTTGCCTTGGTGTCCGTGGCCTGGTTGAATTTGCTCAAAGCTGGGTAGACAATGCAAGGCAAGATATAATATTAAATAACCCAAAATGATTCTAATTAGGGAGACATTCCTATAGAGCTGTGTACAAACAAAAATGTGATATCTGTTTTGTTTTCCCATGTAGCCTGGTTATCATTTTGAAAATTCCCCACCAATGGCATTCAAAAGCTTCCTTTCTCATTGTCTGAGAAGTTACTAAGTAATTTTTAAAGTTGGTTGCGGGTACCCGATCCCATAATCTGGAACCGGTTCCTGACATCAACGGTTGGGTATAGTAACGTACTTGGGTACCTGGTTCCGATAAACATCCCTACCTAAAGGAATTATTTCAAACATTTTACTACAAAGTGTTCCGCTACTGATGTTACTGTTAATGTCAATTACCTGTTTCATATTTATTTTCCAGCCTTTTCCTTTTGGATCTTGCTTCCGATAATTTTCTTTCGTTCCTTTCCTTTTCTGCCAAAAAGAGCAACAAATGATTAAACGTAGAGTACATCATTTGCAGCTATCCAAATACTAACTGACAAAATTATCGTTGAAAAGCATACTTGGTTAAAAGATGATAATGTCACTAAACTCCCTGTGAAGTGATTCTTTCTGGCAAGCTGTCATTTTGAGGAAATCAACGAAAGAAGGCCTTTCCAACGGTGCTTCTTAAGAAATTTCCGTTAGTAGTTTTTTTTTTTTTTATTCGGCGAACCGCGCGCAAGGGTTGAAACGACGCACATGCGCGCTGTTGCTATAATTCGTCGGATCAGTGTGCGACATCGCGTAGCTGCAATCAGCTCAGTGAGAACGTGTCTCGGACGCTGAATTTGGGCCCAATTCAAAACAAGATTCAGCAACTTTGGATTTAAAAATCGAGATCCTAGAATGTTGTTTTTCTCAAAATATACAGCTGAAGCTGAGCTAAAACTTTATCAGGTTAGTTGTTCAGCCCCCTTCTTCAGATTTTGATCACTTTTGTTGCTTCAAACGAACAAAATGCACAAATTACAAATGATGGACTATACCTTTAAGCACCCGTCTTTAGATTTTGAGCACTTTTGTTGCACTTGAAACGGAACAAAATCGCAAATGATGCATGATCTACCCTATCTTACAAGGATGGGTAAATTCTGAAAACTGCATACCTTGTTTTCAGTACTCATCGAGAAATTTTCCCTTGAACAAAACCTTTGCATTTTCAGTAGAAAGTCCTTTCACATATAAACGACAGAAATGGCAAAAGGAATGCAACAAAGTAAGGTTCTGCCTTCGTGCTTGCCATTCGCATTAGTTTTACTTTTTTTCGCTTTATGTTTGAAATTATACGGGGAGAGTCAATAAAAGCCGAACCCAAACCCAAAGAAATATACATATTTAAAAAAAAATGCAGCACCAAATATAATTATGACTGGTAAGCCAATTTTAAACTACTTTTAGATGAAAAAATACTTCAATTGCTCAATCCGTTAAAATTTTATAACTGTTTTAATAAACAAAATGACCCCAGAATCAGTTTCGTCCAAAAAAGCTATTAATTGTGTGTTCTGACTGTTTGGAACAACAAAGAAAATAACACAGCATAGACTACCTGTTTCAACAACTGTAGCACACAATATTTTTATTAACAACCCTGCTTTGGCTAATATTAGGATTTTTTAAATCCACTTTTTTTTTTAAAGACGGGCCTTCAAAAGGACTTTGTTGAATATTTTTTACTTTTAAACTGAGGTTTTACTGCTGGTGATGTTTGAAAACAATTGTAATGACTGTTCTTGAAATCGCATTCTGAGACGAAACAGATTTTTGGGTCATTTCGTTTAATTGGTGATATAATTTGAAGGGATTGAGCAATTGAAGTAGTTTTTGTTTCATTTAAAGTAATTTATTAAATTGGCTTACCAGTCAAAATTATTTTTGGTGCTACATATTTTTTTTTTTAATATGAAATAACTTTCTTTGGGTTTGGGTTTGGGTTTGGGTTCTGCTTTTTTTGACTCGCCCTGTACTAAAGTGATTTTACTGTGCATTGAACAGAGACTGCATTGAGCAGTACGCAAGGCCAAAAAAAAAAAAATTCTGCTTCCGGTTTCCCTACCTACCCTATTCCGACAGCCCCTACCCTATTTTTTTTATTGGAAAAATGAGAAAAAAGACCCAAACCATTAATTTCTACCTTTTACCCTTCACTTCACGCTGACGCCTCCATATGATCGTACACAACAAAAATTGGCAAAAAAAAAAAAAAAAAATTCAGAACTATTTTTTTTTTGGGGCCTAATACACCGGATCGTGGACTGTACTTCACCGGAAGAGAGAGACAGAGAGAGACTTTGTTATACCTTCTTGGAGATCTTTGATGCTGTTTTTGATGACGTCGATACCAAAAGTAGGTCCTGCAGTCTCCACCATGGTTAGATGAATATTAACACACTCCAGAACCAGTAATAAAGATCCAAGCTGTGCGAAAAGAAATAAGATAACCCCCAAAAATTAAGCTAGGCATACTAGCTTGTGACTAAAAATTAGTATCAATCAGGCTTAATAAGCCTTTTCGCTATTTCAACTGCGCGTGTGCACATCACATTCAACGATTTAGTTTCAGGAGAGAGAAAACAATTCGCTACATGTATGCAAAATCATAGGCATAGCGGGTACCAACGAAATCAAAGAAAAGTTCTTGTTTTGAAGTAAATGCAGAATTTAGATATGCAAATTAGAACAACTATCATAAACTCTTGTTGTGCACACGCGCATTTGAAACAGCGAAAAGGCTTCATCCCGTTGATGGATATTTATAGAACATGAACTCACAGTTACGGGAGGGTGGGGGGGGGGGGGCTTACGGGCGTTATCCCCCCCCCCCTCCCCGGAAAATGTTGAAATCTATGATGCTCCTGCATAAATAACCTGGCAATTTGAGAATACATTTTGGAACTTAAACTTTTTCATGTTTTTAAAGCATTTCCATTTTCATTTATAATTGGCAGTGGATATTTAGCCAGAGACGGCAAACCTTTAGTAAACGTTAGCTTGCCGGATATGCACTGATCATGCGCAGTTAAGCACTGTTTTTTTGTACCTAAGACATTTTCCAGGGACAAATTTTAGTCTGGCTCCATGCCAACATCATCTTTGTAACTTCGTATTCACAAGATGGGAATCAGACCATTTTACAATTTCGGACTTTATTTCCCTTTACAAAAAATCCTTCAGAGCCACAAATACTCTGCAAGTGCAATAAAATGTTTGAGACATGTTAAAATAAGGCAGTGTATATTTTGCCGGAGACGGCAAACCTTTAGTAAACGTTAGTTTGCCGGATATGCACTGAACATGCGCAGTTACTGTTTTTTTGTACTTAAACATTTTCCGGTGACAAGTTTTAGTCTGGCTCCATGCCAAAATTATCGTTGTTACCTCGTATTCACAAGATGGGATTCAGACCATTTTATAATTTCGGACTTTATTTCCCTTTTAAAAAAAATCCTCCAGAGCCACAAATCTGAAAAAGAAAATGTAATACTCTGCAAAAAAATGTTTGAGACATGTTAAAATAATAAAAGAAGAATATTCTTATTTTTTGGGGGGATGAGAAAAAAAAACTTAAAAATGTGCTGCGGTCGGAATGGAACCCGAGTCATCCCGCTTACTAGAGCCTTTGCTTAACCACCACACCAAACATGCTACACAACTTAAGGTGGGAATTTAATACATCTTATAATTCAACCCTATCTTAAAGAGTACAGCGCCCTCTGTTGATATGGATTGCCGCCGGCAAACCTTTAGTAAACGTTAGTTTGCCGTCATTACCTCCGGCAAAATATCCACTATCTTAAAATAATAAAAGAAGAATATTCTGTTTTTTTGGGAATGGGGAAAAAACCTTAGAAATGTCGCCAGCAGAGATCGGGATCGAACCCGGGTCTTCCCACTCATGAGATCTGTTGCTTATTCCAGTTGCTACACAATCGTTGGTGGTAATTTAATATAGGCCCTATCTTAGCTGGAGTTACCCAGCCCTGAGTTTTATCATTGGGTTGTCTATAAGGGCTGGAGCGAATTTTTCTCGTAACTTGTAGTATTTGCAAAATTTTTTGGAAAATGTTCAATTTTGTCCCCGTTACACACTAATTGCAACTGCAACTCACCCCAAACTTGCCTGGAATAACCATTACACAGGTCCTTGAAGTAAAAAACGATCCACGATGAAGATTCAGCCTACAATTGCAGTGAAAACAGGAGGAATAACCGCTAACTTGACAACCTTGCTGGATTGGCCAGGACCGCTATTGGTTTGTGCACAAAACAAATTGTATAGTTTCATGCACTATTGGTTGCGGTTCCAGTACCAAAGCATCGATGCGAGTGGTAAACCTCATATTAGTGCATGAAACAGTCATCGGGTGTTACGCTTCCGCGTGACGTCATGCGCCAACAGCCAGCGCAGCCGGCAAAAACGAGTAGTTGACAGCGATCGCTCTCTCTCTGCCGGTTAATCGACCGCCATTCATTGTACACAATTTGTTTTGTGCACAAACCAATAGCGGTCCTGGCCAATCCAGCAAGGTTGTCAAGTTAGCGGTTATTCCTCCTGTTTTCACTGCAATTGTAGGCTGAATCTTCATCGTGGATCGTTTTTTACTTCAAGGACCTGTGTAATGGTTATTCCAGGCAAGTTTGGGGTGAGTTGCAGTTGCAATTAGTGTGTAACGGGGACAAAATTGAACATTTTCCAAAATTTTTTGCAAATACTACAAGTTACGAGAAAAATTCGCTCCAGCCCTAATAATAGACAACCCAATGATAAAACTCAGGGCTGGGTAACTCCAGCTAGCCCTATCTTATAATTCAGCCCTATCTTAGAGAGTACAGCGCCATCTGTTGATAGGGATTTACTAACCTGGCTTTAGTAAACGTTAGCTTGCTGGAGTGGGACTGTGGGAGCCTACTCTACTGCCGGCAAAATATCCACTATATCTTTACAATTTTTGGACCCCCCCCCCCAGCAGAGCATGTCGTTTGGCACACCTTCACTCCTCCCCCCTTCCTATCCCCCACCCCCGCCCTGGGCCAGCTAGGTGTAGGCAAAAGGAAACTTGTCCGAAATCTGGGCAGAGTTTAAAAACAAGTTCGTGCGGATTATTCCACTTGTGTGTAAAGTTGCAATAAAATCAGGCCAATACTATGTGCTCATTATATTTGATATCCCCTGACGAATTACCATAAAGAAAATCGTTTTACAAACCTGCAAATTAAGCGCACGTTGGGCAGGAGAAATTCACGAGTGCAGACGACGATTCGCAACAATTTTGACATTGCGCGTTAACAACAAAATGTTCCTGGTATCCGCACTTCTTCATTCCATATATGCGCGAGTGCAAACTAAACCGTGCGGTTACCATCTAAAATGATTAAGGTGCTCAACAGAGGGCGTTGTCCAGCAGGTACAGGTTTATGCAAAAAGTGTGGGGGTGGGGTGGAGTGGGGGGGGGGGGGGGAACCACATCTGTATTATAGTACTGTCAGTATAATGTAGGGATCAGTGGAGGTAACGGTCGCACAATTCAAGTGATCAACTTTGCTTTCGAACTATAGAATGGCTTGTTGTCAAACCACTATAATGAGCCTAACGAGCCTTTAATGACTCAAATTGCGTGAGTTCATAATGCTTGAGAACGATCCGTGCACCTAGTAAAATAAGAAAATTAAATTTGAAGGGTAAAGCTAATCTTTCGAACTACAAACGTATTATCATTTCGTGGTGAACGCGTCTTCAAGCGCATTGTCTCAATAGACCTAAGACAGCATGACGTCACGCTTTGGAGCTGAGATCCACCAATTAAGCTCCCATAGGAAAGCGCACATGCAGCAAATTAAGCCTGTGACGTATGTCTGAGTCTATTACTGCGTGCAGTTAAACTGTACTTTCGACTGCAGTTAAGTTCATTGAACGTTATACCGCATTTTGCAGAATTGATTTTCTTCATTTGAGGATGAACAAGATTGAGGAGCAAAGTACACCCGTCCTGAGGAAGCTAAACTGGAAAGCCTCACTCGACCTTTCACGTTGAAAATATCGTATTTGTATGAGCGTTTCCTTTGCGTATCCAAGTTCAACAATATTGACCCATGTCCAGATTTAACCTTTACATGTATTTTTACAAGCCTAGAAATACAGTGCGTTCAAGGGATATACAAAGGTTTATCGCCGGTAAAAACAAGAAGAAGCTATCGCTAGCACCATGGGCGTCGCGAGGGGGGGGGGCAAGGGGGGCACTTGCCCCCCCCCCCCCTGGAAAAGCAAAAAAAAAAAAAAAAAAAAAAAGGAAGAAAAAAAAAAGAAAAAAAAGAAAAAAGAAAAAGAGGCGCGAAGACAAAGTGGTGTAAATTTAATGAGTTGGGGGGGGGGGGCAAAATGTCCCTGCCCCCCTCTAAAACTGATAAATCGAGAGTGTGTTGAAAAATACAAGCATTTTTTGGCAAAAAATTTTTTGCCCCCCTCTAGAAAAAATCCTGGCGACGCCCATGGCTAGCACCCAACCTGCTTCGTTCCCCCGTTGATGTTCTATTCTGTTCAATCACCCGGTCCCTTCTCGGAAATCATCCGCCTCTGAATGCTTGACTTACCCAGTCAAAAGCACGGAGTTCTAGGCTTAGGGGAAATCGATGTCCACCTGAAGCACAAGTCGAGCGGGCATGCAAACGGATGGAGAGAAATCAGGCTTGAGGAAATTGAAGAGCTGCATGAAATCGACATGGTACAACCCGCCAAACCAGCTTTCGTAAAGACGTAGTTGCAAGCTGGGAGTGTAAGTCGTGGTGAACAGCTAGGCCTCTTTTTTTGTCAGTGGGCAAGTTGCAGTCAACCACAGTAACACAAATTATACATGTTCAGATGTCATTAATCCAAGTCTTAAAAAAAACACCCGCTATAGCTACTTATCGTTTTTTCTTTCAAAAGTGGCAATAAGGAGTAAGATTGGGCAAGTGCACGAAAGCATGGTTAATTCGAGCACTTCGAGTGTTAAGAGGGCAGTGCACTGAACAACGAGTTCGTCTTTTAACGTTACCTACAATCCCGGCCAAAATGGTTGGGACACTTCCTGAGCCTGCCACGGTCACCCACTCCCCCGCTCCCCGCTCCCCCGGTCAATGTTGTTCTCTCCAGCTGATGCGCAATGAGAGACAACATCGAACGGGGGCTGGGGGTAGGGGCTTAGCGAGATTTGGCCAGGATTGTAGGCCTACACTTAGCCATAGGCTACTTGGGGTCTGAACTTTGCGACGCTCTCCAGCAGATTTGCCGATATTTAAAAACTTATTATATAGGCCTACTACTGAAGGGCGTAAATCCCGGGGTGGCTAGCTTGGGGAGGTCTATATGCCTACACGTTTTGACCGGAGGGAGGGGAAAATTAATGATGGGCCATTAAAAATGTCGATTCTATTAAAGGTTATTTTCTAACTTTCCAACAACCCAAATGAATTGTATGAACAGCACTGAAAAACGGAGAACGTACAGCAGAAAAGCTTTCACTGCACCGTCCGTTGTATTGTAAGCGCGCAGTTTGCAAAAGATGTAAGTTTGTATCATAAACAGCGCCCCGTAGCTAGTGCCATGTGTTGTCCAGCCCATTCAATAGGTTTTTAACAATTAAAAACTAATTGCCTTCTCCGAATTGTGACCGGGTGACACAAGCGTGGGGGTGGGGGGTAAGGGGCACGCGCCCCCTCCCCATTTCAGTTACCCCACTGCAAAATCCATAAAATGTGAGACCCTCGAAAGAGAGAAAAAAATCAACCTTTGCGTCACTTTATTTTGAAATCCCATGTCTATAACATTAACAACAGAGGCGAATATAGCACCGATGCAACCACCATGGTCTGGTACCCGCCGCCATTTCCGATGGGCAATTTGAGATTGTCATGATGACGTCAAGTCTAAATTATTCAGTGCGTGCGATCGCGACAGGCCAACAATGTCAGAGAAACTCTCGCAAAAAGTCGCGTATTTTATTCTTCAGATACTGAACACCGTGTTGTGTTTGACGACTATATATGAAACTGAAGAATATGATCTGAAGGGTTCATGAATAAACGATGTCTTGTCCTCCTGCAGCATTACTCTACACGATTGTTGGTGACAATCTGACACAAGAAGTATTACTTTAGGCATCTTTATTTTGAAGGTAGCAATGTTTTTGTGAAGTTTATTGTGAAATTTTCAGGTTATTTCTTTCAAGGGGACACTTCCCAAATGTCTAGTTTTAAGTTCCTTTTTTGTTTATAATTCTATGATGATTTTCAAAAGCCTTCATTTAATATCACTTTTTAAAAATAAAGATTTGGCCTATTTTTGGAGCACATGCCGACTAATATTTGACACAGCTATTAAAGCTTAGATCATAAACTTCAAAGATGTACCTTTTACAGTATAATAGAACAATTAATTGCAGAGTGACTATAATCTTCATAGAGATTTGCCTCTTCGTGAAAACTTAAAATCCCACACGCGTTGTTTTGCCCTAGCAAATTCAATTTTTCTTAGCCATGTATGGTGTGTATAAAAAAAAATCCAAATAAAATACAACGGAATGTCACTCGTAGAATGTGTAACCAACATAAATAATGTAGGTATGATTTGAAAGACACGCCTTTCCACTTTAAAATGAGACATCAAATGTCCAAATCTGATAATTTTTGACAGAGTTATATACGAGTAATTTTCCAAAGGTCAAATTGACCATCCATGGGACGAAGTTTCAATTTTAGGCAAAGGGACCAAAAGTAGGCTAATAACTTTTGTGTGGATATTTGCCTTGCCTAAAATTCTTTTACTGTTTGTAAATAAAAGAAAGGTCTATCTCCCAAGGAGTGGTTTTCCCTCTTAAATACCGTCGTTATGGTGACCTGCAGATTTTAGATATCTCATCAATGCATGCAGTTGGAAAATATATGCACTTACAAGAAATCAATTTAACTGGAATTATGTTGAACAATCTTGGCGCCTAGGTGCGAAGTTATTATTAGACGTTTGTGTGTCCTCTCCATTTACACATTTTCAATTTCGGAATCAAAATTGCCGCAAAATGGCCTTGACTTCTTATTGACGATCAAGGTGTTGTAATGAAAGGACCTCAGATCTTTACTTGAGAAGAGGTTCGTGAGACCTATGAAATGTCAGACCCTTGCGATATGTCAGTGATTTTCCATGAGATCAAGGAAACTACTTTCCCGTTTTAAAATTGAAAAATTAGATTATAAATTACTCGATTTTTAAATTAGCTTAGATCAGTAGGTATAGCTTCAGCGAAATGGCTGAGTGGATCGTTTTGAGAGGATCTCAGGGTAGAACTCAGGTTTTTTTTATCCCAGGGATAAACTTCTGTTGATATAAGATCATTTTATTAAACATACAGCAATTTTTTTTCAAGATTACTCCTCATGGAGAAAAAATTAAACGAAACTTACAACAGACAAAGACTAGATACAATCCTGAAAACTATTGACAACACATTGAGCAGTGTTCCCCTTTTGAAGTAACCTTTTGAAAAAAGAAAAATACAAATGTTTCTTACAAGGGAGACACATACATGTACATGCACAGGGTTCCTCATGGGGTAGAAACACAATAAAACAATAGACCCCATAATAATAAGGAAGTCTTTAGAAATCAATCTGTACCATAAGGGAAAAGTTATGAAGTTTGAGATTTCAATAGGAAGAAAGGGAAACAAAAGAAAGAAAACAAAGGTCTTACCCACAAGTAAATGTGTGTAAGGCTATAAGTTCGTAAAGGTTCGGGGCATCAGTGGCGTAGCACGGTCATTTTTATGGGGGGGGGGGGTAAACATTTCTTGAAAAGGGCACTTGCACATCCGTGGTGAAATGAGACACGTTTTTTTTCTCCGGACACTTGGCCTCCGTGAGGGAGGGGGGGGGGGGGGGGCTGATACCACTTGTCGAAGGGGGCGCTGTTCAAAACCGACGATTATGCATACTAACGGACAATATATAGGCCTATGGTGCTTCTTCGGGGCGATACATGCTTGAAGTACCAAAACAACCCACCAGAAACGGTCGATGACACAAAAAAGGGCACCACTTCTTTTTAAAAGGGTACTTGTTCAGAAAAAGGGGCACTTCTTAACAAAAAAGGGCACTTTTAACAAATTATGTAATGGTGAAAAAAGGGCATTTGAATGGAAAAGGGCAGTCTGTACAACATATTGGGGGGTAAATACCCCTTACCTACCCCCCCCCCCCCCCCCCCCCCCCGCCTATGGGCATGTTAAGCTAACTCGGCAGCCGTCTCACGACACAGTTTCTTCTTTTGTACGGCACTGGGCCTTTGTGTAACATTGGTGGACAGTGGAA